CCCTGGCCTTATCCACCCATGTCTTTCTCCGTTGAAAAATCACTTTCATCCTGAAACGTAAAAAGTAACTTAAGATCTGACTGCTTTGATATTTCAATTTTTTCATCTTAAAATATGTGGTTTTATGATGCCGCGATAAATAGACATAATAACAGACAAACCAAGTCACACATATAATCGCGTTATTGTTTGTTCAAGATAACGAAACAAAACGTGATTTCAGGCAAGGATGCAGGTTTGAGTCGAGTGCATCAAATATCACTTTTTATTGGACTACTTACCCCAGGGAACTTCCTGAAATTGACATGGAACGTTATTTTTTAATAAATTTTCTGTCGGATCTACACGAATGCGAGTGTTTTTGTCGAATCTTTTTAAGTATTGTATTGTAGTTCCTCGCTTATTTTTACTTATTTTCTTAATCATCTCTTCTAACATCCATGAAATTCAAGACAAATGCCAAGTCACGACTTTCGTAGATAATGTTTATCTGTAAAAGCAGCCTCCAGGTACGGAATGTCAAGAGGAACACGCCACGAATAGAAACGTTATATTTTGAAAAAAAAAGTAGTTACACATTTTTCTGTAACGAGATAATGATAAGACAAGAACGAAATATAAGTATTTGATTTTAGATTGTTTGACGGACTGATTTTATGTAATTTGTTACAAAAAATAGCTTTAATAAACAATTGCAATCTATTTGGCTTATTGAAAAATATGCATAACAGTCCAGTTAATTATAGCTTTTTTGTTTATAAGAACCTTTAAATTTCTTTAGTTAACAAATGATTTCTCAAATCATTGCAAAAACTATTTAGGCTAAGAATGAATGCTACGTTAGACTGTATGTAAGAGTTATGTCGGATCGTGTGAATAAAACTCTTAAGGTTGACTGCATGTGCAAGACTGATAAACTCAGCATAACAAAAGATCTTTTGACACATTCAAATCGTTCGATAGAACTGATATACAAATATGCCCTTGAAAGTTACGTAGTCAGACAGAATTCCTGCTCCAAAATTTGTTTAATTTTTTAACTGTTGGACGAAACGTTACAATTGCTCTAAATTCAAGATCATTTTATTCAGCTTTTTCAAACTTAATACACTTATTCTACTGTTATAATTTTTACAAATTGTACTCCTCCAGGTTGTTATCGGTAAAAATAAACTGCGAAACTGCAGCTTGTCGCTAATGGGAGGGTGACGTCACTGAACAAAATACCAATTTGGTGCTAGCATTACATGACGATTGCGTTTTAAAAGAATGGAAGTTATAATACAATCACAATGAATTCCTATAAGGTATATTGTTTACCAGTACATTAAATGGGTGTTCGTAATGTATGACACCAACTTTATATCCTCGAATTATTCTAACCATTGAGATAGGTAAATAACTTAGAACTGATGCGTCTCCTCAAAACCCACATGAAGAGAAGATAAACCTTAATTGCATGTCTGTAAAACAAACGTAAAGGAACATATAAATAGGTCTTACTTTTCTTTGTTTGGGTCTTACGTTCTATTTTAAAAGTGTGTATTTGGGTGTTTAATATCTGCGTTTTTCAGTCTTCTGAGGATTTTGGGTTTCTGTTTTTCAGGTGTGGATCTAAGTTTTCGAGTTCTAGAGTTTGTGTTTTCTAGACTCGAGATCTGAATTTCTGTATTTTCGAGGTCTTTTTTGCTGTTGTTTCAATATCAATGAAATAATATGGTTCTGACAATAAAAACAGAAGAAGAAAAAACAAAGTTAGTAATATTGCATGGCTTCAAACTGAAACTTTTACATGCAAACGAGTGTCTCATATATTTTTGTTATAAATTACTGATTCCACAGAATAATATCCTCAATTATGCAGTCGAAAATCGTTGTTGACGGAGTGAGTACAGCAAGTGAGTTTTTGTTCACGCTTGAATTATAATTATTATTAATCATTCACTTGAAATTTCTTATGATGGAGTAATACGTTATTTATGTGAGAAAGCTTATACTTTAAAACAAAACGAAGATTCAAAGGCTCTGTAATTTTTATACAATTTGCTCTGTGTATAAAATAAATAAATTATTCTTTTTTGTGCTATTCGATAAGTGGTTTCACTGGTTTGTTTGTCTTTTGTAGCCCAAAGCTATACACAATAAGTTATCTGCGCACTGTCCACTACGGTTTGTTTGTTTTTTGTTGTTGTTTTTTATTTCGCGCAAAGGTACACGAGGGCTATTTGCGCTAGCCGTCACTAATTTAGCAGTGTAAGAT